GTGTATGGGGGAGGAGTCCAGCATCCCTGCAGAGGTCTCTGAGCCCCGACCAGGGTGCTGACCTCCCTCCCTGGGATGGGGAGCTCCTTCTCACTTTAGGTTTCTCCAAACCACATCTGGGTCCCTCTCTGGCCCCAAGGACAGGAGAGCTTGCAGAGTGTCCTGGCCAGTCTGTCCCCTGAGCCTTGAATGGCAGCAGAAAAAAGACAAAGTCCTGGGTGAAAAACACAGATACCACAGGCTAATATTTCAGAACCGTCCCCCTCAGCAGTTATCAATGCTGCTCACCACCTTCCTGAGGGTGGACTGTGCTTCCAGGTTCCTCGCCAAGCGCTTCAGATACGAGATCTCTTTCAAGGCTCACCACCACCCTGTGAAGAACATATTATTACAATTATTTCTATTTTACACAAATGAGGAAACTTGGTTTCTAAGGGATTAAGGCTGGGTGTTGCTCAACCTGTTGGTGTTGGCGTGTGAGGCAGGGAAATTCTGTTGGAAACCCTGTGCCTCCCACTGCAGGGCCCTTAGCGCCCCTGGCCCATGGATGCCAGTTGGGCCCATTGGTCATCGTGACCATCACAATGGCCCTGGCACATTTCCAAATGCTCCTGGGGTGGGGCAGGACCACCTGTCATTGAGGACCACCAGGTCACTTCGGAGGCTATCCCGCTGGTACACTGCAGGGCCAGGATTCAGACTCACATCCTTCTTAGCCAGAGGCCTCCTCCTGGTGACAGCAAGCCCAGTGGAGCCAGTCAGAGGGGACTGGGGGAGGGACAGGGGTCTGAGCCCTCCTCTCACTGAGGTTCTGCCATCTCCCACCCTTCCCAGGGTTGCGGGGGAGGGGGTCCCTGCTCTCTTGCTTCCCCAAACCGCTGAGCCCTTTGTCCCCTCTCCCTACACCTCCATCTCTTGTTTTGATGCTGCCTTCCTGGAAAGGTGGGGTGGGGGCTGCCAGATGTCGGGGTGTGCAGCCCAAGGTTGCCAGGGGCAGAGGCAGGCATGGGCTCACGGGGCCTCTTGTTCCAGGAAAGAAAACGCGTCATGAGGCCTGGACAGAGCTTGGTACTGTTGTCACTGAGGAGGGAACAGCACGGTCCCAACTGTGACAAATAACCCTGCAGGCGGTGGGGGCCCCCCCACTCCCACCCCCTCCTGTAAACGGATCCCTGCCTGGCATGAATGGGCATGAAGTCCAAAGGACACATCTGCATCCCCACCCACAGGGGATAAGGATGTGTGTGTGTTTGGAGGATACCAACACCCCCCATCCTTTATGCCCCCTAGAGTCACCCTGGGCCCCAGGACCAGCTCCTGAGCTGGCACCACACCACACAGCCCGGGCAACACACCTTGTGAGCATATACATGCCACCTACACGTGTGCGCCCCAAGCCTTCCCCAGTTATCCTCCCAACTTTGGGGGGACACTAGCCCCAAAGTTAACCAAGGCCTCCATCACCAGGAGGTACTTTGCTAAAAGAGGAGACCCCTGGATTTTCCCCTATTCCTCTGCGGGGTCTCCAACCACCCACACCAGCGCCAGGGGCCAGCGGGCCCCAAGCTGACCTCAGGTGATGTTTATATTCCCGGGTTGTTTGTTCTGTGAACTGAACATCTGACACTTTTCAGAGAAATGTTTTGTTTCATTTGGAACATCTGGAAACAGCAAGAACATCTGGAACTGCCAGGAACAAGCTCTTCCTTGAATGAAACCTTAACCCTCCTCTCCCTGCTGTCCATAGTTTCAGTCCTGGCCGGCACTCCTCATGGGTGGCCCCCACCATACCAGGTGAGGCCTGTGCCCAGGACTGAGGGCCAGCACTCAAGACCCCTGCCGTCCTCACTGCATCTCCCTAAACGCAACAAGCCTGCCAGCAGCACAAGCTGTTTGAAAAATGGAGGTTAGTGGGGAGAACGATATGGAGGTAGAGGACATGTAGGCTTCAGCATCTTTCTTCCCCTCCTGGGGGTCAGGAGAAGAGAAAGAGTAAGGGGACAAGAAAGAAAAAAGAGGCTGTCGGGAGATATAAAACTCAGAGTGAGCTCGGCCGTGGGGCTGAGGTACGTAGGCCTGCTGTGTGCAGCTGTGCAGGTTGTGCACTACACAAGGGCACCCCCCACCACCGCCACCACCAAGGAGTGAGAGTTGTGTCTGACCCCAGGGGCAGGGGCACAAAGTTGAGCTTAGACAAGCTCCTGAACACTATGGTTCCGTCCACCACTCTGCTGCCTGGCGAAATAGAGCCAGAGAGCCTTTTAGTTTCAGAACCTGAAGGCTCCCCCACACTAGCCCCCTGTCCCCCACCCGAGACCCCTGGAGCTCTGGACAACACTTCAGTGCCCTGGGAGTCCCCTGATTGCTGAGTGGGGGGTTTTCTCCAAGCCATCTCCACCTAAGTCCACTCCCTTTGGCAGCTCCCAGCAAACTCTTCCACCAAGTGAGGGTGGGAGGCCTCTTGCGAGGGCCTGAACCAAATCTTCTCCCAAGTGGCTGCCACACTTGGCCTGCTCTTGCTCAAGAAACTCTGTGGCTCCCTTCCTCCACAGGGTCAAATCTTCATCAACCTCCAACATGGCTGCCTGCACTCCAGCCAAGAGGCTGTGCTCTGGGCCCCTCTGGATGCCTGGCTTGGGCCCATAGCGGCCCCCCAGCACCCCTGCACCATCCTTCCTTGGTGCTCCTCTTCCACGGGGTACAGCCTGGTCCAGGGCAGAAGGGCCATGCTCACATTCATCCACAGGACCCACGTGTATTCAGCTAAGTGCCTGGGAATCTAGACTGTGGGATGGGAGGCTGGCGAGCCCCAGGGCATGACCTTCAGTGGGGTGAGGACACAGGGAGGGAAGCACAGGCTGCCTCAGAAGACTCAGAGAACCCTGCCTCCCAGGGCATCCACTGTGGACCCCAGCTGTGGTGCCAAAGCTGGGGTGACCTTTGAGCCTTAGCAGCACAGCTGACAAGAGAGCCCGCCCTCCCCCAGGGTCCCCGGAGAGTTGGTGCCTCCCCTGGGTCTCGATTTGCATGGCAGGAAGGGGCCTGGTGGGGAAGAGGCGGGGAGGGGACAGGCTGCAGCTCAGGCAGTTATACGTTTTCCCCCCAGGAGCCTCCATCCGTCGTCGTCACTGGCTTGGGGTCAGAGACAGAGCTGTGACTATGGCCGGGCTGGCACTGTCTCCCATGCCCAGCAACTGGCTGGTGGTGTTGCTGCTGCTTCTTTCAGGTACAGCCTCCCACAAAGAACCTGCTGGTTTCACTCTCTGTCACCGTGTGTTTCTGCTGGTTCTGTATCCTGCTCTCGCCAACCTCCTCCTCCTGTCTCGCACACTTTCTGCTTCCTCTCTCCCTCTGACTGCCCTGGGGCCTGAGTCTGTGGGTATCAGCCATGCTGTTGGGCTCAGGGGTCTGCAGCCCCAGCCAGCCCCTCTCCCACCTGAAGGATGTCAGGCTGTGCTGGGCATAAGGGGTTGGTGGCTCTGACTGCGGCAGAGCTAGGCCCGGGAGGAAGAGAGGAGAGCAGTGTGGTTCACCCCCGGACTCTCTCAGGGCACTCTGTTGGGGGAGGCAAGGGAGAGGTTGCCCCCAAGCAGACCCTGGGACATGCATGTTCCAGAAATGGTACCCTGGTCTGGAAGACTGGAGAGCCAGCCCTCCAACTGTGACTTCCCTTCTGCCTCATCCAGGTTCCTGCTCAAGGCCATGGGGAGGCTCAAAGGCAGAAGGGGGCCTGGGAGGCGGATCTTCTGGTGACCCCATCCCACTCCAGTCTCTCCAGAGCAGGGCTGGGGAGTGCTGAGGGGTCTTGAAGCTGACATCCCGGGAGGAGGAAGTGGATCTGGGAAAGCAGAGGGCGTGCAGGGGTGGGGCAACCAGCTCCCAGGAGAGAGGCCCTGACCTGGCCACGCCTATTTCCTCCCACCCAGGAGGTGAGACGGTGCCGACAGCCAAAACAAAGGACCAGGATTGGAATGCCACAGGTGGGCAACTTCACCGCCTCTTTCTAGGGGCAAGGATGTCTGTGTCCAACCCTGTTCACTGTCCTGGGGGCTGCCTCATGGCTGCCCCTTGTGCCCTTGTCCTCCTGGGTTTCTTCACCCAAGAATCCCATCCCCAGGTCTCCTTATGGTCTTCCTCTCCAGGCCTGGCTCCAAGCGCCCCCTCCCCACCAAAGGTCATTCTCATTAGACGTAAGCGCTCCAGTCCCAGTGACTGAAGGGTTGCGCTAAAGCCAGGATGGGAGTAGGGAGCCACAGGGAGTCCCACCGAGGACTCAGGCCAGGTCTGTCCAGCTGAGGAGTTGCGCTCAGCTCTGAAGGAGCCCATAACCTTAGGGGCTCTGACGACTGCCCAGGCTGCCAGAGCTCAAGGATTCCCAGGGGGCCACTCACTGGGAATGGGGCAGGAGGGAGGCTTCTTGGAGCAGGCAGGTGGGGAGAGCATACCAAGCTGAGAAAGAGGGTTTGGGAACAAAAAGTGGAGCAGGTCCACGCAGGAGGGTGGAGGAAGGTGATGGAGGAAAGATGGGCAGGGGATAGATGCAGAGGTCTCAATTGCCGGGCTAAGAATTTGGCCTTTATCCTTGGGGGCAATGGGGGGCCCCTGAGGATTTCAGACTAGTACAGGGCGGCCCAGGGCAGGGAGAAATGAGAGCACTAGACCAGGTGAGAGTCTGTCTTGTAGGCCTCTGGGCCCCAGGGGGTGAGAAGTGGATCAGACTACTGTATGAGCATGGAAAGGAATCAGAAGGTTCCAGAGCCTTTCTAAAGGAAAATCAAATTGGAGGGGCTGGGTGCTAGTCAGGAAGGGGCAGGGTCCAGTGGTTTGGCCTGTTACCTCTCACGTGGCTTGGCTCTCCCACACCTCTGCCTTATGACTGTCCCACACAAGGACAGACTAGGTGGGCTGAGCCAGCGCTCAATGCTGCCCAGAGTGGGGGCCCATGGTCGGGCTGGCAGTCAGGAAGATGCCAAGTGGGATTTTGATCCTGGCCTTGGCGCCCACAGGAAGCACTTGTTCCCGGATGTGGCAGTACCCACGTTTTGTGGCCAAGAGACGGGGCAACAAGGTGGAAATAGAGTGCTACGGGGAGGACTTGATCAAGGTGAACTGGTTCTGGAGGCAGAATATGGACTCGAAGCCCAAGCTGCTGTACCCGGAAGAGGGCCACATCGAAATGAGCAAGAACAACACCATCTTCATCCTCACCATCCAAGGCATCCAACATCAGGACAACGGCATCTACTTCTGCCAGCGGAATTGCTCGAAGGGGCCCCCTGAGTGGGGCTGTGGCACCGAGCTACGAGTCATGGGTGTGTGTGGGGCCTGCCCTCTAGCCAGGGAGGGGAGTGGGAGTGGACAGGGCCATAGGGTCTTCATGGAGCCATCCACACCCCACCCCACTCCAGCCTGCCACCAGTGGGGGGGCCACATTGTGAAGGTAGCCCCAGAGCATCCAGGAGAGCTGCTGAAAAGCAGGTCCTGAGGAGTGCAGGCCCAAAGGGAGGCCCAGCCTCACCATCCTTGGCCCCCTCCCCACCAGGGCACAGCACCTTGGCACAGTTAAAGCGGCGGAACACACTGAAGGATGGCATCATCATGATCCAGACCCTGCTCATCATCCTCTTCATCATTGTGCCCATCTTCCTGCTGCTGGACAAGGTGACCACGGGGGCTGGGGAGGTGGCCACAGGGCAGGCCAGACATGGGCAGGATCTCCATCTCCCCAGTCCCAGAGCCTGCTCATTGACTCACCCATTCAATCACTGCTTCAGTCATTCAGTGTGTTCTTGCAAAGTGCACCTCATCCCCTCACCCCGCCACCACTCACCCCTCACCCCTCACCCCAGGCCAATCTCCCTCACCCTCCCTGGCCTGGCCCAGCAGTGGATTAGGTGTGGGAAGCTAACATTCTCCATCCTTGGCCCCGCAGGATGACAGCAAGGCTAGGATGGAGGAAGATCATACATATGAGGTGAGGAGCAGGGTGGACCCTCAGCTCGGAGGGCCAGGTGGTCAGTGGTACCACCTGTTGGTGTGGCTGGGGATTGGCCAAGGCCTGAGATCCATTCCATGTCTCCAGGGCCTGGACATTGACCAGACGGCCACCTACGAGGACATAGTGACTCTGCGGACAGGGGAGGTGAAGTGGTCGGTGGGTGAACACCCAGGCCAGGAGTGAGGGGCTGGCCATCCCCACGCCCCTGGGCACAGCCTGCTGGGCCCCCATGGACTGCTTCAGAGCCGCCTGGCTCCCAGCGCATCCCCTTTTCCCTGGACCCCCTGTCAGCCTCCAAAGCTGGCCCGCCAGACCCGCCTGCCACTCCAGCCCCTGGTCCCCAGCTCTGGCCAAAGGGACTGGAGTAGAAGGGCCACAGGGCAGTGATTTGGAGCAGGGAGTTCTCTGGGGATAGACTGGACCCAGCCTTCTAGGGGTGCTATGCAGAAATCCATTCCACGTTCAGGACGGGGCAGGTAGAGACTTGTCTGGAAACTGCAAGTGGACTCAGAGCAGACTCACTTCCTGTAGAGCCCGGGAAGAGCCACGGCCCAGCCCCACTTGGCCACAGATGAGCCGTTGAGAGCTTCATCCCTCTCCCACTCTTTCCTACCCTCTTCCACTCTCCCCTACCCTCTCCCACCCTCTCCCACCCCAGGGGGCTGCTAGCCTTGAGCCCGTTCTCCTATGGAATAAACAACGTGTCTTGAGAAACCACACACAGGCTTGTGACATTTATGAGTATGGGTGGATGAGAGTATCTGTTTGGGCACAAGTGTTTGGGTACCCGTGGGCCTGTGGGGTGTGGGAGTGGATGACTGCCATGGGGCTCATGAAGCTCTCCTGGGCTTCTCGTTTCTTCTGTCTGAAGCCAGTTGGGACCTGTGGTCACATCCTCCTTTCTTCCCCTGCTCGGACCCTAGCTGGGCCCAGAGCAACTGCAGCAAGGCTGACAGGACTGGCCCTTCTCCTTGGCAGGGAAGCCCTCATCTTGTGTTCCTTTTAGTCAACAAGCAGCACTTGAGTCCTGCTCTGTAGGGCAGGGTTACCTTCCCCCACCCATCTCAATCCTACTGTCCTTCAAGGCCCTATCCCTCCAGGAAGCCTTCCCGAAGTGCCCCAGTCTCTGCTCAATCCGTATTCAGACCCCGGCCTCTGCACCTCTATCTTAGCTACTGCCTTCTGCTGCCTCTGCTAGCCTTGTTCCCCAGTTAAACTAGAAGCTCCCTGAGGGCAGGGCTTCCCCTACCTCTACCACATACTCCCAGCCTTGGCCCCCACCAAGCCTGAAATTTTTTTTTCCCCCACTCAGAGTCATGCAAGAGAGAGATTCTTAAACAGGGAGGGTTTGTGGTGGTGAACTTTGAGGGTCCTTAGTCAGGTGACCCATCAGACTTTCCCAGCATCATATCAGAGGCCCCTAGAGTCCCAAGATCCCCACAAAATGGTCCCTAGGCCCTCAAATTAGGTCTCCAACCCACCAGCTGCAGGAGTAACTGGGAGCAGCTCACAGCTGGGAACTCAAGTGCAATTAACCTCCGTGTGCAAAGCCAGGCTGCGCTCTGCTGACTGTTGACCTTGGGGAGACCCCAAAACACCTCTTTGCCATTCATGTTCTGAATTCAGGCGGGAGAAATCCCTGCCCTCAGGGAGCTGTCAATTAAACTGGAGAACAAAGGCCAGCAAGAGGGGACCAGTGAGAGCAGCACCAGTTTTTACCAGCTTCCCCCTGGAACTCCAGGTGGGGCAGGCAGCTAAGGTACCCATGCCTCGAGTCAATTTCTCCACCGCTCAGTGGTGCCCACACGGAACCAGGCTGGGCCAAGCCAGGCCGGCCTGCTCCCTCCTGGTCTCTGGGCTGCCAAAGGGAACTGGCTTGTTTTGGCATCTGCCTCCACTGAGCTGGAGCCCTTCCTCTCCTGCTGCTTTGCATAGTGGCGCTAATTCTGTCCTGCTACCTCCACCAGGGACCCTGGGCAGCCCGGCTGGGTGTGGGGAGGAGTCTTCACTTCTCCCCAGAGCAGGGTCTCCCCCTGCTTGGGGCTGCCCTGAGTCGGGGGAGGCCTTGGCTTTACCAAAAGACACTTACTACCTTTGAATAACTGAGTTTTCCTAACTTTGAAGTGCTGTTGGCAGAGAATCACTTGAGTAGTGAGGCCTTCCTCCTCCAGCAGACACCCCCTAAAGGGCACCTGCCTTCATGGTTATGATGTAGAAGCCCTCCCTGGCCTATTTTCCTGTTGTAGGGGCTTACACTATGGCTGTCATCCTGTCTGTCTCATGGGTTCCTGGCCCCCAGAACTGACTTAAGCTGTGGAAACGAAGCTGGGTGATGCTGGTGGCGATGATGAATGTCTCAGGTTGTTGCTTTATCTGCAAAATGGGAATCACAAAATCTGTCTGAGGGAAGGGAGTTGAACCAGATGCTGTTTTTAAAAAAAAAAATTGTTACACAGTAAAATTGACTTCGTTTTCTTTTGGTGTACAGTTCAATGAATTTTAGCACGTGTACAGATTTGTATAACCACCACCACAATCAAGATACAGAACATGAACCGAAATCTTTTACTGGGCCTCCAAAATATTTGTATATCAAACACCTCTTAAATGCCAATAGAATTTTATTGAGCACCTCCACATTCATTTACATGATCCTGCTTAAGCCCCAGCATAACTCTGGAAGGGGGTAGTATTATCCCCATTTTACAAATAAGGAAATCGAGGCCTACGGAGATTACGATAATTGGCCAAAAGTCACTCACAGACCTTCTGATTCCAAATCCAGCATTCTTTCCACTATATCACAGCTGCCTCCCTCAAAGGACTTTGCAGGACTGAGGCTTTGAACCAGAGGAGGAAGAAAAGAAGGAGGGGAGGAGGGAGGATCCTGGCACGACCTTGCTATCTCCAAAAGTTTCCCACTGTTCACAAGTCCCAAAGCCCCGAAGGCCCCACTCCCTCCTAATAGGGCCCATGTCGTGCCGTAGGACCATCCTTCCAGGAGTCCAGCTCTAGATGGCTTCTCTGGTCCTCCCTTTCCCCAGAAGGCAGCCCTGAAGCCCCTTGATGGGCACATGCCCCACTGCCCACTGGGGGAATCCAGCCTGGTCCCTCGGGGCCCTGGTGTCAGCACAGGCTGGTTCCTCCTCCATTCTAGCTTGACTTCCGGCCCTCTCACTGCAGGTGCTGGGGTGCTCTGACCCGAGGGTTTGGGTGTTTTTCCAGCAGAATCGGAGGTGAGAGAAAAACACAACGCGGAAAGCTGCTGCTGTTTGGGTGTTACTGGCAGATAGCGTTCATCCCTTAGCAGGTGTCAGCCTGGCCGGGTCTTCTGCGGAGGGCCTCAAAGGCCATCTCGGAACACGGGGTTTGGGATTCCCGGATTCTGTTCTCGCGTCCTCTGCTCTCTTCAGACGACCTCAGTAGCTGGAGTGAGAGCCCATATCTGTGAAATTCTTGGATTTGTCTCTGCTCTCCACGCTGCACCTGGTTACGGCACCCTCAGGACCTGCCGTTGACTCAGCTGCCAAAAAAAAAAAACCAACAACAAACCTTCCACTTGGGACACCTCACTGCCCTCTCCAACCCAAAAGCCTTCACTTGGGAACTTAGGTGACTCCACAGAGGACAAAAATTAACAAGCATTAAATCAGTGCAGTTTGTTAAAACACGTTTAGGCAGATCCTAGTGCAATTTTCAAATTAAAACAAACACACAAGATCTTTTTCTCGAACCTAACACCATTTTCTCACATGGCACGACTGGGAGGGCCAGACACCGCATGAGGTCCCGCTTAGGGCTCGTGTTCTGTGAGTTGTGAGTCTGCGTAGAACGTTTGTGTGCACTTGGAATCAGCATACACATACTGCCTTGTCTACTTTTTTCATTAAAATTTTTTCATGTGTGTATTGCTGTGCATCACAAGATCCTGTATTTGTTATTATTATTTTATTTTGTACTTATTTTAAATTCACTCTACTAAGTGGAACACATTCAGACACAATGTGGCTGCCTTGCCATTTCCGGCCAAGTGGATATTGGCGCTCTTTCCTTGGCGCTATCCTTCCGTCCATTCAATCCACTCAGCAGATGCTTGTTGAGTTCCTGGGCCTGGGACTGTGCCAGCTGCCACTTCCCCCCACTCCCAGGGCTATTCTCTCACGTCTATATCTTAGCTATTTCCTTCATGGCAGTTTTCACAATGTAAAATTTCTTTTTATATCTTACCATTATGTATTTATTTGTTTGCTACTATCTCTCTTCCCCATAGACCGTAAATGCCAGCAGAGAAAGGATTGTGTCTTTTCTTCATCTAGGGGTACCCATCTGCCTGGTACGATGTCTGGCCTATGGAAGGAGCAACAACCACTTGTTGAACCAGTTAATGGGTGAATAAGAGAATGAGTGAATGAATGAACAGATGAAAGGTGTGAACCAAGCCTCAAAGAGCTTACTCTCCCATAAGGGGAATAAGATGTCCACAAATAACCACAGAGTAAGGTAAAAGGAGGCAGAGGTTATTTCCAGCTGAGGGCACCAATCAGGAAAACACCTCCAACTTCCCACAGCTGCTGGACACACCTCCGTACTTATTACTTCTTTTTCAATGGGACGGTCTCCCTGGGGAATAATCCCCAAAGTGGAAATTACTTAGTAGGTCCAGTTATGTAGATTGCTATGCACTTCCAGGTTGTTCAGGGATCCTCAACCAGTGTAAACAACGCCCCCATCAACCCACAGGAGTGCCTGCCCCCATCCTCCCCCCACCCCCAAGCCCTCCAAGGCCCTTCCTCCATGCTTGAACCCTCTGGCAAACTCAAGGGTCCAACCAGATAAAGGAAGTGAAAACACAATGTACACTGAAACGTGCAACACAAATGTGAAGGATGATGCGACTTGGTTCGCTAAATCGGGCTACATCGGGTTGTTTTTTTCTGCCTCTTTTCTTGGTGCCTGTGGACCTCATTCTGGGCTGAAGCTCCTTGCGTTCAATTCCCCACAGCTTCACTGAACATCTTCTGAGCGGGGACTTGATCCCTGCCCTGCTAGCTTTACATGAGGAAAGTTCTGTCCATGCCCAGCAGCGCCACTGTCTTTCCTAGATGAGGCTTCTAAAGAGCTTGGCACATGGAGAGACTAGGGCCTTGGGCAGCCATCATGTAGGAGCTGAGAGACTCTGGGAAAACTACTTTGTGTCTTTGATCCTGAGTGTCCTCTTACGAAATGGGCCTTACACCTCTTATCACCCAGTACCGTGCCTGGCACATGGTGGGAACTCAAAAATGTCGATCTCCTTCCCCATCTTCCCTGGAAAAGCCTTTGGGAATCCTCATATAATATTCTCTAAAGATCTTGACCCAGTGTGCTGGGTGATCAGCGTGGTGCTAAGACTCATGTTGGAAGCAAAGAAGAGGTGGAGTATGACCGGGGGGCAATCCCAGCCTCTGGCCTCAAGGAAGACGGGACAGAGCAAGTGGTGGGAAGTGTGGGCTCAAGTGACCAAAGCGGGGGGAACGGAAAGAGCTGCCACCAGTCCCTCTTAGGCTGTCCCTAAAACCAGGGCGAGTATGACTCTAAATAATGAGATGGCCTCAAACTCCACGGACTCGAATCTCAGAGGGGCTCTTGAAGCTTGAAAGAGGCCACTCTCGGATCAAGAGTAGATCTGTAAGCTTCTACAACAGATACAGAGAACCTCAGAGACGGTCAAGTC